GAATCCAACTCCATTTATATCCAACAGCAGATATTCAGAGCTTCCACCAGCCAGTAAAGACAGAAGGGTATTAATTATAGATTTCATAATCAGCCCTTCCACATCTGAATGTATACAACATAAACACAYCCACACATGTGCACATCCATACATGTATCAGTTTAGTCTCTCCAGAAATATGTTTCATATGTTTTCACCTGTCTACATATGTATGTACATTTCTTTAGAAACTGCACAGATGATGAATAATACAGGCTGTGCCATTTATTTTATGCTGTTCCCACATCTTAACTTGTCAGTATGCAGCAGAATGTTCTATTGAAAACAGAGTGCAGAAGTTCCTAAGAATAGGAGTCCATGGACTTTGGATGCTTAGGAGAGAACTGGAGGAAAAATGAGGCAGTGATATAAATGCATTAGATGCCAATATCTGTGAAATGCAACACTCACCTGCAAACCAGTTGAAAACATTTGATATTCAGRCTTCACAGATAACACAAATTGTTTTAACAAGTCAATTTATTCATTCCAGAAGTTGATTCATACAGAAAACACTACTGGGTCAGTTATATTCAATTAATGTTTTAAAAGCTGTTTTCCCCTTTGCTCTTCTTCTTTGAGAGTTTGTTATTTATTTATTCAGTTGAAAAATAATTAAATGTATTTTGTTGAAYGTTTTACAAGTAAGAATTATGAAAACTGGAAAGATATGGGCCTTTCTAAATAAACAACTACTTGAATAATACTCCAATGCAATTTCTAATCTACTAATAGGGGGTGAAAAGATATATTTGATCAGGTCTTTGATTTTCACARTTGCCCCTGTACYTTCAGTGTATGAAAGAAGATAAAATAGAATGTGGAAGAAAGAAAAAGCATTTCATAACTTTGAATCTGAACTCAGACTAGAATTTTAAAACAGTAAAGCCTTAAAATTCTCTAAAGTCCTCAGATGATATTCCATTAACTAAAATTCATCTTATAGTAATAGAAAAACAAGGTTCCAGATTGCACATGAGGCAAAAGTTCTTAGAAAGTTTTCTTGATTTCTTGCCTGTGATTTTTTAAATATAAATCTCTCAGCAGGGATCTATAGTTTTGTAATAAGTAAGCTTGGAATTTCAGGCTAAAGCAACATTATGCAATGTGTCTCCTGTTGATTTTTAAATTTCAGATTGGGGATTGCAAACCGCCTCCCATAAACAACTGGGATTACAAACTCAGATTTCACCTGACTATCCCTTATAAGTTTAAGTGAATCAGAAACTATAAATCAAAGATCCAATATTTCCCTAACACAAGTAAAAGAGTCACAGCTGAAATACAAAGGGAAAAAAAGAACTCAAACTTTTCCAGAGTTTAATAAGGCAAGGTACTAATATCTCAGTGGGGAGGCAACTAAATTGGGTGATTACTCCAACACGTCACACTGAGGTTTGGCAATTTATGAAAGATGAATATTTAGACTGAATTTGTAAGTGATAACTATATTGCTATATTTAGATCTTTGAATTATCTAAACAATTTTAAAGCGTTCAAGTTATGCAAAATTAATTAGTACAATATTGTATTAAAACTACTTGCTTTTTTCAAATCAGAAAAGTATGCAAAGTGCAGTTTGTAAGTAACATCTTCAAGGAAAAGGGAAAGTAACAGGAAAAGAAGGTCTTATATTGCTGCTGTCTTTGATATGATTTCAGCTGCATTACTGGGTTACTGGAATTATTAGACTTGGTTAAGAAAGAKAATAAATTAGCAGATGTGAGTACTCAAAATTGTAGTTAACAGTCAACTTTTTAATTGAAAAAGCATATGAAATTCTCATCATGAAACTGAGAAAAGCAAAGATCAGCAGAAAGAATAGTAATTCATATACTGTGGTGATAAAAAAATGAAATAAAGTTATGACTGTTTCTGTATAATGGCCATTGTAAAGTACATATTAGCACTGTATATGGGATGGATTATATTCCAGCACCTCTCAGATATTATTTAAAGTTTTTAGCAGTGAATAGACCAGACAACCAAAGTCATAGATGACTGAAAAAAAAACCAAGCCCAAATCCTTCTGGCATATTTGTTAGCCTTGAASCTACGTAATACAGCCTGATGTCTCTAAAATCTGCCAACATAACATATTCAGAAGCATTTGCCAAGTATCCTGCATACTGCTAATCTTCCTCTGATACTGAGTGTTGTTACTGATAATCCTGATCTGAATTTTATCTGAATTTTAACTATGTCCCCTCAAAATGAGCTCTAGCAAAAGCAGAAAWAGAAAACAGCAGAGGACAACCAAACCAGAGCCTTAGATGAAATGCTCCCATGGAMGATGACAATGGACTTTCATTAAGCAGATATGCACAGCACTACCTCAGCCAGCAACCACATTACATCTCGATTTATGTCCCTTGACCAGGGAGATCTTGAAATGGAAATACAAGGCTTGTAACTAGTCCCAGGTGGAAAGTGTGAAAGCTGTTCAGTTTATTGAGGGTGGTGGGTATTTCAGGAATGCCAGCTAAAGTACCATCTGAACATGCCTGAACTACCTCCAGTCATCCTCACAGAATTTTCTAATATTTTCATTTTGACAGCTTGCCGTTTCCTCCAGCCCACAGTCCCATTACATTACATGAATTCAACACAAGAAGCCAGTTACCATCTCAGAGGTCAGCTTGCACTTTTCTCTCCTGCACAATCCCTAACTTGATATTTTGCATAGAGAGAGATATTTTCAACAGTGACTGAGGAAAAGTAAGCAAGAAAGTTCCCACTGGTGTGAAGTAGAAGTAAGTTTCAACCCTCTCCAAATGTTCTCGCTCTGCCAAAGAGCATCCACACAGACTCAGTGGGATGAAACTATCAAAAGAAGATGGATGGAGGCCAAAAAAATATCTGAAGCCATTAGAGAAGACAGAAAGATGCATTTGGGAAATAGTGACGATTTGATATCAAAAAGATATTAAAAAAGCCATTCTATGATTGAAGTGCCTCGGTTTGGAAGGAAGACCAACCTGCTCAGGACAGCCGTCTGAGCTGCTGCTACAGCTCCCTGGGAAGGATTCAAGAGTTATAATATGCACAGTCTTTTGCAGGCAGATATGAGCTTATTTTGCACGAGCTGACCAGAAGCCATTCTGCTATGACAGCATACCATCAAGCACTTGTCTAAGCCTTGCTGCAAAGCAGTGTGCATTAGATCAGGCAACGTACCATTGTCACGTGGCCCCAGTCCTCAGGCTGACCCAGAGTGCAGGCTACAGTAAGCTCACATCAGTTTGCAAATGGGCGTGCACATACACTCACAAAAAAAAAAAAAAAAAAAAAAGAAGAAAGAAGAAAGATTTCAAGACCAGTGTGCAATGAATCCGTCAACTAAGAGGTAGGGAAAACTGAAGTTTGCAGGAGCAGGGATGAGCATCAGTCCCTGAGAAGCAGTCAAGAAAAATTAACAGGAAGATGGAGCTTATGGTGAGGGGAGATCAACATTGGACACACTTGTTCAGAGAAGGAACATTGTGAAGCCCCAAATTTGTAACAGACTCTTGTCGCAGAAGCTGCTCTTTAATTGACACATTAAATATTGGAAATGTGAAATTTTCATGTAGTACAACACTTTCTGTCACGGCCACTACAGCAAGTTATCTTTTTGTAGTGATTCGAATGCAATGCAATACAGTCATCCATAAACTCTTTTCAAAGTCAAAACAACTCAGGTACAGATACCTGGCTTCAGTCACATACCCAAAGATAGGTGGCATTCACATAATCACATCTGAATTTAAATTCAGTAGTATAAGACTGCCTTTAAGTCCRTATTTTCAATATGAARGTTAATACCATCTACCTTTATTATCTTCTGATTGCATAATAAACTGTCAATAATATTTATTGCCTTTCCCATTTAACTTTTCAAATATAACTTTGGAAGGGAGATATTTCATTTGATGAAAGAGCAGAAAGACAAAAAGGTGCTTGCAACAGATACATAAAGAATACTGCTATTTTACTCTGCCTCATATCAATTCTCTTTTTTATTTAGCTCTTTAATGTATATCTACTTTGGATGCAGCATACGACACAGATTGCATTACTGATGCATACTAATCACTGTGTTGTTTTCTGTGATGTATGTAAAAATATTAACTAATCTATTTTCATGTCTCTGGGAGAGATTACAGATTATTTTCTCCAATATACGAGGAGAAAAAAAATATCTGTGCTTAAAAGAACTTGCCTATTATTTTAAAATAACTCACAAAAATGAAATGCATTGGAATTCAGAAATTTGCTATGGCTCATCCTTTAKTAAGATTTTGTCAGAACTGAAAATCTTCTATTTTCATTCTCACATCGACAGTGACTTTTAGGAATGGACAAATCAAATTATACATATTTAGATACATGCACCTTTGCATTGCACATAAAGTTTGGCATATAAATATAAACATAAAGAGTTCTCATACTTGTTGAGGATCTATTTAAGTCTTTTTGTTGAAAAATGTTAAATTGGTTGGTCTCTTATTGAATTTAGTTTCTCATCTTCACAGAGCATTAAGAAATCTACTTTGTATATTTATTGTAACTCCAGCAATGGCATCTGGGACCTTTAAGATGTTACTTTTCGTGAGCATCCTCATTATTTTTTGTACTGATTAAATTGGATGTAATAGTGAGAAAATAGTGACTTCATCTAAGCAATTGGGGAAACAGGACAGATCTACAAGGGAGAAAATATATGTAATAYACAAGCTTGGATAAAAGCAGCTAAGAAAAGAAAAACAGAAAAACCGCCAACATCCCTTCTAAAGATTATTTTTGAATGACCTGAAGTTTGTTTTCTAATTAATTTCCAACTTTARGTCTACTGACTGAAAGTCATTGTCTTTGCTGACAGATAAACCAATTATTCAGTTTATAGATGCCTAAGAATGAGAAATACCAACTCAAACAAAAGCAAGATGATGAAGGTAAAGCAAAACTCTTGTAGTACTCACCTTAGGCACCCAGTGGCATTGCGCAGCACCTGTGATGAATGGAGCTGGATTTTATGATCATCCTGGAGTGGAGAGTTTTCCCATCCAGAGTGAGGGATGATCACTGCATTGGTCAACACTGCAAGGGCATCCTGGATGATTGGCATTTTCAGTGCATCACAGGAGGAGAGATTCCAGAGAACTCCTACAAAAAGTAAAATGACTGATAATTAACACTTCTCTGCAACAAGTTTAAATGTATTTTTGTTTAAAAAACAAGAATCCAAACCAATATATTTCACAGCATTGGTGTACTTAATTAAGCTGTTTCGGTCAAGAATAAAATTGATTACACTGKAGATAATGACACCTGCACACTTTTGCAGTGGGATACAGCTTTGAACACAAAACATGTAGTCACAGCAACGCTGGAAATTTCTCAGAGCTCTGCCTAAGAACTGAGCAGCTGGTTATGATCTAGGCCTATGAAGGCTGTGAAGCACACAAGGAATGAAGGAGTATTACAAGGAAGTTTTTAGAGGCTGGTCTTCAGATATCTTCCTTCAAAGTAAAATTAATAAAAAMCAGTAGCAGAAAACAGGTTCGGATTTACAACAGAATTTTCACTGCTGATAGATACACATTGATAGAACAAAACCTCAGCCCTGTGATCTTCACTGTCATGGAAGGAACTGTCTCAGCTAGTTGGTACTATAAGCAAAAAGACTTCCTCTCCACAACCTGATACAGTAGTAATATCCCAGACTTCAGCAAGTAATTTGTATTTTGTAAATATTTAACTATGCAAAGTTACAAAATACTGTAATTTTTACAAGGAAACAGCAAGTTTAATGGTGCAACTAACAAAGAGATCTACTGGAGTTTAAAAAAAAACAAGATACCTTCTGTTGTAATTAATAATGTGCAAAGAAAAGGAAGAGAAATCAAGAGCCAAAGTTTTCTAAGCACAGCGGCAAAGAGTCGAGGTCACTGCAATTGTGCCACACAAAAAGCAGGTGAGAAATTGTCAGGAGCAAAAGACACCCTGCTTTCCATTCCCATATTTATATATTTGTATATTTGCTGGAGAGCACATGTGGACTTTGGTGCTGTGCCAAGAGCCTGCTGGGCAGCTTTTAGTGCTGGGGGAAGCTGGAGGACAATCTCCTGCTCTAAAGAACCAGCGGGTTTTATTTTAGCCCAGCACCCTCCTAGGAGCCRCTGGAAGAACAACGCCTTCCTCATCACACTCCTCCCATTGCCAACACACGTCCCCTTCTCTGGAATCCAATCCTACTCCTCCCTACTTTCCTTCTCAAAGGACACTAACTTGCCCCACATCTGACCATAAGCAGTAAAATTGAGTTGTGATTTTTATGTCTGTCAAAGTTTTCAACCAAAAGAGAAAAATTATCACCATCATCACCATTGCACATAGGAGGTTACAAATATGAACACTACAAAAAATCCGAGTGAGTGGTGTGGGAGGAAAATGCTGAAGGAAGGCCTAAGGAACACAGACTCAGACATTTATAAATAAGAGCAGCGAGAACACTACTTGCTCAAGGCTTTCCTTTGCATTCTGTGCTTCGGCAGAGCAGTGTAATTAACAGGAATCAACCTACATTTTCGGGTYTCCCTTTAAAATTAATTACCTCTATGGGGAGACTCAGTTATACAATTTCATGTTTAAATTATTCTGTATGGATCTGTCTGCAAAGGCAGTTACACAGTTTAATATAAAATTTTGATCAGTATACTACAAAAAAAAAAGCCATTAAAATAATCTGCATGAGGTACACAGACTTTAGCTACAGACAAAAAAGAAGAAAAAGAAGAGCAGAAATAAGAATAATGTTCTTTTTTCATTTAAGAATTGCTACTTTAAAGGGAAAAGAGTCTTTGTTTGAATTCTGTTCTGAATGTCTTTATGAAAAAAATTTCCATATTTAAAGGAATAAAGGCCTTCATAAGGATATTTATACTTCTTTTTTTTTGTGTTCTTGGCACGCTTTAATGGCACATCTACTATTCTTGAAATACCTGGCATTTTGCTGGGTTTAGTCAGTAAAAACAACAACGTGGTTGCCTTTTTTTTTTTTTTACATTTATGAAGACAGGTGTAAATGATGTGCATGGTATAAAAGAGAAACAAAATGCAAATCTTTCCCCCTTTAAGGTTCAATTTCGTTCTCATGCAACACAATGCTCTGTAACTTAGTGAAGAAGTTTTTTTGAAAGTGAATCAGAAGAGTGTTTTGATGGCAACAAAACAACACTTTGGGCTTCAAGAACTAGTCATGAACTGGAAAAGCAGAAAAGAATACAAAAGAAGCAAGCATAAGAGCTCTGTCTAGAAAAATGCTTTAAAAAGTGTATGTAGACACTATTTTCAGTTCACTTCAGGTTCTTGCTAATTAAAAGTAAAGTCACATAAACATCAGCAGTAGTTGAGCCTCGACATATTCTTTAAATCCTCTTTCTCTCTGGTTTCTCTAACTGGAAAYGAGACCTTCAGAGTAAGGATGATGGGATCACCAGGCAAGAATAGCTATTACACCCTCTCCTATAAAGGTTTTAAGTCAAGGAAGAAGCAAGGAAAAYTCAAATCAAGGCAGAAGCACTGCCCAGTAAGCCTGATGCTTTCTTTGAAGTTTTTGCACCTCACTGTTTTAAGGAGTGAGATAATCTTCTTTCACCCCAGAACAATGAGTTTTATCTAATTGTAAGACTGAATACATGAACAAAAAATTTTCTACTGACAAGTTAAATTTTTTCTCGGAAGCAGTGCAGTCTGCTTGCTACATGCTGAGGTTGGCATTCTACAAGCCTCCTTGTAACCTTCTTAATTAAGGATTTGCAATTATGAAAGGGCATTGGCAATTCACTTCTCATTGTTTTTGCTGAGGATGACCTGGAGCTAGATTTATGTGGGGTCTGAGAAGATAATCCATTGCCTTGACTTTGCAAGGGAGAATGACAATAAAATAAATCTTTAACCTGAGGCACTTTCCATTAAGGAGCTACCTTTTCACCACAGAATTCTGAACATATAAACCAAGCATATATGCATGACATGTCCTTTAGGGCCACTGTAAGGAGCAGGTTACTGAGRCCATTAGACACTTTACTCTGAAATCCTTGACTCTATTGGGTTTCTGAGCACAACAAGCAAGTCTGCAATAGCCACAGAGGTGCCTTGACYGACCCCTGAAGAATCTGCATTGTCATCAGCTGCCCAGAGGAAGGTAAGGGACTGGACTCACCAGTGACTGATGACAAAAGTGGACCCACCCAATGACACAACAGTCCAACTCAACAGTTTACCACCTGCAGGTTGACTCTTGTGAGAGATATGAAATAAAAAACTAATCAGTGTTGAACATCTCTGAATGACTTTCATTCATATCTTACCTTCTTGCTTTTAAAGCTGTGAGGCTTTCAAATGAAGCATTTTGTGTCCACATTTGCAGATCACTTTTGGTTGTACTGGAAGACTTGCAGAAAGACAAAAATAGCCACACTAGACTTTTTGCATGTCGAAATTTTTCACCCTTACATACAACAAATTGAAATACAGTGAAAAAGTATCTTGCAGTCTCATTTTAAGTTTAAACTAAAGAGACACTGATATTGAAAATAATCAGTTGGTTCCAGTTAGAAGACGGATTTTGGGTCCGAGTAGCAGTCTAGTTGACATAAGATGAAGGATTCTTAGAGGAAACTACAGGAATGCTCKCTCTGGAGATCTTACTGCATCAAGGTGCATCTTCTGGAGCAGCTCATCAAGGACATAAAACTGCTATGGTCAGCAGGTTGCTCAATTCAATGGAGCAATCTGAGCAAGAACCCCGTAATCTCTGAATCAGGCTGGAACTCAAACTCATGCTGATTAAACAATTCAATGCATTTTTCTGCTGGTGTTTTAGTCAGGACTGGTACATGTGTATCTACAGTCAGATATAAGAGAAGACCTGATAAGCCACATGCTATCCTTATTCCATTCAAAATCAAGAAAATAGAGATCACATATGATGTTATCTCATATTATGACTTTATATATATATATGTGTGTGTGTGTGTGTGTGTGTGTGTGTCTGTGTGTGTATGTGTGTGTGTATGTACGTATATGAACAGACCTCTTAGAACAACTTAGACTACAAGTAAAAGTGGAAACTAAGAAACTGGAAAAGTAATCTTTTCCAAAAAGCATTGCCCCTGCCGCACTGCCACTATGGGTTTTTTGTTTTTTGTTTTTTTTTTTAGATTGTAGTGCAAAAGATGTACATTCACAAATAAATTAGATGGTAAAAAATTGTAAGTAAACAAATACTATTAGGACAAACAAGACTCAATATGATATGTTTAAGTCAACTTTAAATTATTTCAAGATTTTGCTTTTTTCATATTCTCTGTAAAAATCCAAAAGTATCCCAATGCATCCAGGTTTTTCTTTTCCATCATAATTTAATAGTTTGGTCATGGAGTGATGCAGATAACCATCTGATAGTGCTGAGACTGCATCCCAGGAAGAGCGACCAGAGCATTGGCAGGAATTTTTGTTTATATGCTGAAGGCACAGAAATACTACAGGGAGTTTCCCTCATGAACATGACAATTAGGATTGAAATCTGAGGGCTAAATACCCTGTACAGAAGCCAAGCACAAGGGATCTTTTGCCGGAGTCTTTAGGAAAAGCATCTTCCACCCCAAGCTCCCAAGTGCTAGTGAAGGCATTTGCTGGCTGAGGCTGGGAGCCCCCGCTGTAACTGCAAGGCTGCTCTGCCAGGCTGGAACTGCTCCTGGCAGCAAATGTGGGCTCTCCACAGGTTACAGCAGCTCTGCTGCCGAGCAGCAGCCACAACTCTTCTTCATACAAACTGCAAAAGACTTCACAACCAGCTCAGCCGTCAAGGTGAGGAGTGGGCTTGCTAACAGACTTTCTGTAGGAGAAAAAGTGGCTGATTTGAATCCTGGCACCTGAACGACACACAGCTCAGAAGGAATCTCCTTAAAAGCACACTGAAAGGAAGTTTAAAATTGGCGTAACAGAAGAGGAACTTTTACCACTTTTCTTGATTTTTTTTTTATCTGGGTCCTAAATGAATACTTATGAACGCCTTCCTGAAATCCACTTATTTACATGCATAGAGGTGGTTTGCTAACTGTGTATAAGCTGATGCAGGTAAAGTCCATATTAAGAAA